CGGAGATTTTTAATTTTTTTTTTTTTTTTTTTTTTCGAACAAGATGGTGGTCGAAATGTATTTAATAATAATAATAATAATAATAATAATAATAATAATGATGATTTTTCCTCGTGTTGCGTTGTGTTATTTCACGTTATTATGACTTATTATTATTATTATTATTATATTTAACTCAAGGCATTTTTTTTTAAAAAAAGAATTTTCTAGATAGGTTTAACCTTCATAACAAGAAGAAGCCCTTTACACAACCCACACACACACACCCACACACACACGACGTCGCGAAGAACAACAACAACAACAACAACAACCATAATAATAATAATAATAATAATAATAATTAATTTTAAAAAAAAAAAAAAGTTTATTTTTAAATACTATTTCTAACTAAACGTTTGTTTAAATCGTACGTTAAAATTTTAATTTATTAATTATTAATAATAATAATAATAATAAAAAGGATAGTAATAGTAATAATAATTATAATAAAAGCGATAGTAATAGTAATAATAATAATAATAATAATAATTTGTAACTGTTTTTTATTTTCAGTGCATTTGTAAGTTTTTTTTTATTATTATTAATTAAATTATAATATCGTACGTGTGATGATTAAATTTTAAATCGTTTGTTTAAATCCGACGACGATACAAAACAAACAAACAACAATTCGAGTTATTTATTTATTTTTTAATAGATTTTATTAACGAGTTTAATAAATAAAAAAAAACAATAAGGGAATAACGTTTTTTCTTTCTTACTCGAAGGTAAATTATAATTTTATTATTTATTTTAATCAATTATTATTATCATAACAATGTATTTATTTATTTATTTATTAATAAATAAATTTATTAACCGGTTTGAATTAAAATTATTATTATTAATATTAACAATCGATAATAATAATAATTTTATTTATATAATAAAATTTGTCGAATTTAAATCCGATAGATTTTATTTAAATCATTTATTTATTTATTTAATTATTTATTATCTACAATAAAATATTTTTATTAACTTTTATCGATTGATTAATAACATTAATAATAATAATAATAATAATAATGATAATGATAGTAGTAGTTCTAGTAGTAATAGTAAAATAATCGTAATTACGCAGTAGAAAAATTTTTATTGCGAACTTTTTTTTCTTTTTTTTTTTTTACGCGAAATTAAAAATTGTTTATTAATTTATTTATTATTATTAGTATTAGTATTATTAATCATCATCATCATCATTATTATTATTATTATTATAAGTAAATAATTTATGTAAGGAAAAAAATTTTAATTTTTTTTGTTTATTTTTAAATTCTAAAATAGGACTAAAAAAAACATTTTTTTTTTTTTTTTTTTTTTTACCGGAGGATTTATTATCATTATTACTATTATTATTTTTATCATCATTATTATTATTTTAAAAAACAAATAATTTATGTTTGGGAAAAAAAAACCGTTAAGTAATTTTTCGATCGAGGTTTTTAATTTTTTTTTTATTTTTAAATTCCAAAAAAGGACTAAAAAAGCGTTTTTTTTTAATTACCGAGGGATTTATTATTATTATTATTATTATTATTATCATTTTTATTACTTTAATAAATAAGTAATTTATTTAAGGGAAAAAATGACGTTAAATAATTTTTGATCGAGGTTATTAATTTTTTTTTTTAAAAATAAAATCACGTCGAAAATGGTAGTACGAAAACATTTTTTTTTAATTACAGGAAGATTTATTTATTATTATTATTATTATTATTATTATTATTATTATTTTGCCGTTTGGGGAATGGGTCATAACGTTTGAGAAAAATAAAGAAACGTTGGTATATATATATTTTTTTTACATTTCAGTCGATATTAACATCGCAAAATGAAAGTAGAACCACTTCAAGGTGGAGATGGTAGTAAAATTGAATTATGTATTGACCCGAAAACAAACGACGAAAACGAAGATGGTTCCTCATCGGATATATGTAAGGCGTCATCATTGCAAGATTTAATATCAAAACTTTATAAGGAATTTGATAAGGATGTTGTTAACGTTGATTACATAAACGAATTGATGAGTTCCTATAAATCAGTGTCGCACGAGTGGAAAAAATACGCTAAATTCGATAGATACAGGTGATGACGAAAACAACATCATTATTATTATTATTATTATTATTTACCTTTTAAAAAAAAAAATAATAAACCTTGTTTATCATCCTATCATCATCATCATCATCATCGAAATAATAATTAAAATTTATTATTTATTGTTTGTTTATTTAAATTTATTTTTTTTTTTTTTATAATCTCAATAATATTTATTTAATAGGAGAGTAAAAGGTTTAAACCTTTCGAATGATAATAATAATCACATTAGTAAATAATTAATATGTAGAGATTAATAATAAAAAAAAAAAAAAAAAAGTTTTTTTTATGTGTTTGATCCTGATAAGCTTACAATCGAATCTGTTGCCATGTACAACTAACTCGACACGTATTTTCT